GGGGGGGGGGGTCAAGAGAAGGGTATTTGCGTTAACTTTAAGTGGGGGAACAGTTACCTATACTATTGTAGATACACTGGTCTAAGCCAAGGCTGCTATGTTGGGTACAGAGCAGACATGGTGGGGCTCTTATTGATAAACAGGAAAGCAGTGACAATGTTTTATCAATTGTTCACTCAAATTACCATGATTGTGGTAAATAATATGAAATTATTTTAGTTTTCATCTAATCAAATGCTAAACCAAAACACTTAATTACTCCCATTTTTAACTACACGAGGCCAATAATGTGTATTTGCTTTGAGTTCCTTTTGGCTGCATGTGAAAATTACATTTACCCTAACTGACTTTTGCAGTTAGTTGCTTAGCTTTAGGTTAAGTTTGGTGTTTTCAAACTGCTGGTAGTACACTTTTTTTTGTTTCTTAAAGCTTTAAGTAAGATTTGTTGTCAATTTCCCTTGGATTCCACAGTTCTCTTAAGAGAAATGAATTACAAGTCTTCAACAGATCCAACAAAGTTACTTATACACAATAGGAAATAAACAATTATGGGTTAAAGTTTGCAAGGGAAATATGCAATGAAAATTTGCAAGAAGTTAGTACTTAGACCTCACAGTTTAGCAGAAATTGAAATTATTGCAGAAATATGAACCAGAAAAAGGCCTTAACAAGGAGTGAACCTGTGCCTTGTAGATTCCAGTTTGAGTCTATTGCCAACTGAACTGCAACATGACATGCTGAGAGCTATGCCAATTTCATAGGAATTTTCACACCTGAAGGGATCTGATCAGTACCATGGCATGAAATGACTAGGAGTATTTCAACTCTTCCCTGGATGGGCTGCCAGTCCATTGCTAGGGTACCCCCTAGCATTTCGTCAGGCTTCACTGACAGTTTACCAGTTCTCATATATTCTCCAGGCTGGAGAGAGGTACCATGAAAGCCAAGTGTTTTTGCCCAAGAACACATCCAAATATCCTGGCCATGTCTCCCACTGATCATAAATAGCCCCATCTCTCTATTCTCTACAGCTTAATTGAAAAAATGTTGGTGAGAGAGCCATACCATCGCTGTTCAGTGGAGAGTATTATGGAGGATCCTTGGTTCCAAGGGGGACATCCGCCTGTACTTCCCACTCCTGTACCCTTGGTAACTGAACTACCCCTCACCCCTGAGGAACATAATTATGTGGTGGAGATCATGGAGACTGGAAAAATTGCAAATAGGGAGAAAGTTAAAAAGTGAGTTATGTTGTTGTTATAAGTTGGACTTACCAGTACATAATTGAGTGCCCAATTGAAGCAGCATCAAGCACTGCAATTTTGCAGCTGGTTAGGCCAATTTTCATAAAAGTAGAGCCTGCCAGCATGGTCAACCAGCGCCTAGAAAGGGAACAATAGCTAGTCATTCTGTTAAAGAGTCTGAAAGTCACAGTCAGCCAGTCACTCAGGTAGTAAGTCAATTAGGTAGCCAGTTAGTCAGTCAGGCAGTAAGGCAGTTAAGTAGTCAGTGAGTCAGGCATATGTCAGATAGGTTGTCACTCGGTGATTAAGTCAGTGATGCAGTTAGTCAGTTAGTATGCTAGGTAGTCAGTCAGTCAGTTAGTAGGCTTGGTAGTCAGTCAGTCTGTTAGTTAATCGGTCAGTCAGTTAGTCAGTATGCTGGGTAGTCAGTCAGTCAGTTAGCTGATCACTCAGCCTGTCCACAGCCAGCTAGCCAGTCAGTCAGTAAGTCAGATGCTGACGTCAGACACTGATTTGGAACCCTGATGAACAAACTAATCGACAAACAGGATAATGTGAAAAGACAGACAAACTGACAAACGGACAGTATCAGTCATTATGGACCGTGTTTTCACATCCTTCCATTCCTTTTCCTTTTCACTCAAATACTGACCTGCAAAGACAGACATAGTTAAGGTACTATAACTTTAAAAACCATCTTTTTCACCCAAAATTTAGTCTATATTTGTATATAATCTGCACAGGTCCCTAGAAGAAAACGCATACGACCACATAGCGGCCACTTACTATTTGCTAGCGGAGCAGCTCTTAAGGCGTTTGAAAACATCCCATAATAGTTTGAAGCCCTCTGTTCGAAGGATCGATGCGCGGCGATCTTTGCCTGAGAACAAGCGACAGGAACCAACAGCAAGGTAGTGTATCAATAGGGTAATTTAGTATTATCAACTGAGTTGATAATGTAAAAACTAATTGGAAAACAAGATACAATCGCTCTGACGAAGGGTTAACGCTCGAAACGTCAGCTTTTAAATTCTTTACGGTGACCAATTTACATTATCAACTCAGTTGATAATACTGTTACCCTGTTTTACTCTCCCACCGACGCAGTACCACAGTTTCTTTAGAAACTTACCCCCTTTATTGCATCGATAGTTTCGTAATCATTAACAGTAAAGAACGTGAATCAAATTGTGCACTACTCGATTGAGTGCCCCAAAACCAAAGGAAACACAGCCGCTGACAAGAAAGAAAGACATTGTTACTAACAGCAAATGAGAAATAAATGTTAAAAAAGCAAACCTCCTCAAGCTCGGGAAAGTAAAAGTGAACAGGTCGCGATTGGTGTTAGCTTTGCATCTGATTGGATAAGAAGGTCGGACAAGTCCACAAAGCGGAGAAAAGAAACACCGGCCAATGCCATACACAACTGCTTTCGAATCTCAATTGAATATTTTCCTTAGTATCATTTGCCATCTATCATAGTCTCGAGATAATTTGGTGTTGTCAACAGAACTTATATCGTATATTAGCCACCGTTAAGAGTTTCAAAGTGACGTTTCGAGCGTTAGCCCTTCGTCAGAGCGAATCATCTTTTGCTCTGACGAAGGACTAACGCCCAAAACGTCAGCTGTGAAACTCTTTATGGTGGCTAATTCACATTGTCAACTCAGTTGATAAAACCAAAATTATCTTGTTATACTCCCCCACCGACGCAGCACCACAGTCTCTTTAGAATCTTACTCCCTTTATTTGAGTGTCAGCCGTCCTCCGTCGTTCTTGATTTAACATTGCCTCAACATTTTTCACCCTAGCATCAGTGTGTGTAATCACCATACTGTTCTGCATACATTTCCTAAGGTGCTGACCGGGTGAACTTTTAACAGTCAAGATATTCTAGTCCGCTATTCTTGTGACCTAAATGTGTGATTCATAGCTGATATTATAAGGAGAAATCAGCTAATCCCTTTAAGGGGTCAAAAGGGTTTAAGCTGTTGACTTTTCAACCTCAATATGGCAACTTTCCCTCTTAAAACAATCCACAATATGCCTTTTCATATCGAATCTGGTGTTTTCCCTCAGTTCACCAGGCTTGGAATTAAAAGGAGATCAAGAGGACGATTTGGGAACTCAGCTGGATGGTAGTAGTTCAGGCTCGGGATCTCCGAGGATTCGTCGCATTTCTTCTGGGAGACTGGCCCCAAGGGAAGGACAAATGTTGAATGAAACGATCAAAACTCACGCCATCGAGGCGGAAGAAATTCTGCACAGTTCTATGGAAGAAGATGACCATGTAGCTTCCGGAAGTCATCACAAAACACATGGAAAGTTTCACACAGTGGGCGCGCTTTCAAACAAACCTTGCACTTCAACGAACTTACAGTTTTCCACTGAGATCACACCCAGTTTACCGTCTCTGTCGCGCCCGCACGAAAGGAGAATTGTTCATCACAATAGGTTGCGAAATTCAAACAGTGCTCCTTTATCTTTGAATCAGATTCACGAGGAACGCGAATCGGATCTTGAAGACAGTCCGGTGAACTCACCGCGAGTTGAACGGACAAGAAAACATCTCGGGGGAGGGGTGATCAAATCTAAAAGGACTACACGCCGCCTGTCCCCAGTGCCCTCAGGAAGCAGCCGGCGCTCTTCTAGTTGCAGTAGTTCGGACGAAGATGAGATAGAAAAACACATGCGTAGGCTAAAAACTACTTCCGGTTGTAAATTGAATACCAGGCGCTCTAACAATGACGATGGCAACACGGACGGAGATAGCGGAGGGGGGACTGGAGTTGGAGGAGGCAATAGCCTGCGAACCACATACCCAATTCCCTCGGTAAATGGTGCGAATGGAGAGAAATCTTCGGGTAAAAATCCTTCTTCGAAACAGGGTAATAATGGGAAAACGAGTTGTTTGAATGTGAATATGGGTGTATTTGCACCCCTTTGCGAAGATCTTGATGTTATACAGGAGAGTAACAAAGAAAACGTCGATAGAAATGTGGAAGAACAGGTGAATCAAACTAATGCGGAGATTCACAACGGAAAGAGAAGTTCACTCATCGAAGAGTACGGCGTTCTGGCTTCTAAAGGAGAAATGTCGGAGCAAGCTCGAAGCAACAGCTTTTTAGAGAAAAGAAACAGCGCATCGAAGTACATTAAGAATAACGATGGGAATGGAGAATGCGACAAAAACGAACCCAACTCGCTGGAGGGCGTGGTTAGTATAGAACTCACAGACATGAGCCTGCAGTCTAAGGATACCAAGCGGCTAGTCGACGAATCCAAGAAAAATATGAGTTTGATTCACAACCCAGCAATTCAAACGGTGACGAGTAACTGTTGTCAAATATTTTGATCTATTTTATTGTAGTTCTCTATGCATACGCTTATGTAGTTCTTATATCTATGTTTTCGGAAAGGGTTTGATTGCAATGTCAGCAAATCTATTTTGAATCTGATGAATTTTTGGGGGGGGAGGGAGAAAGGATTTTATTTACTTGTGCATTTTTTCCTTTTCTTTTTTTCTTTTTTTTTCAGTTCCGCGTATGGTGATTTAATGGAATATGCAAACGGCGATGACTTTTCTCTGAAGTGATTTGATTTATAGGTGAAGATTAAAAAAGTGGCCTTCATTCTATTAATATTGGGGCAATCTTGCAACGGCAAATAATTTTTCAGGTTCTTTTCTTAAATTCTTAGAATTAATGTTTCTGGGAGGCACTTTATTTCGTATTCACGTGAGGGTCTTTACGGCCCATAAAGCAAACACAAACTGAAAACGTTTTTATTGAAGTATAGATCGACTCTCGATGGAAGTGAAACTGTTTCTACCGCTGGCTTTAAAGTTCAATTCTGAAGAGTATAAGGAATGATTTTTATGGTTTTTGCACATTTCATTGCCCCTGTTTAGGTGAACGAATGCCCGCTGGACGCTGTGGGGGTGCTCATTAAGTTAATTTGCCTGAGAAGGCTACAAATAAATTATTTACTTGTTTGTATTGACTTGAAATTTATCCGATGGAGTCTTAGAATTGACATCAATTTCTCAAAAGGTAGATTGGTGTACTGTGGTTTTGGTGCAAAACATTGGATAAATTGTTTGCCATGGTAACAAAGAAAGTGGGTGTCAATTAAATTTTTTATGTCAACTTCTTTTTTCTTTTCGATGACAGCGACTTTGTACTTGTAAATTACGAGTGAGATTGGTTTATCATTATTTAAATGATCAATGAAATTATCTCCCTTTGGAAATCACAATGCCGAGTTACTTTCGAAGCTGTTCACATGGTGATTGAGCTTTCGGAGAATTTATTCCGTGCATTGTAATGTTGTTCAAATCTCCTTATTCAGCTAGTATTCCTGAGTAGGGTAGTGCGAAAAAAAAGTGCTTCGAGTTTTTTGAGTCTCAAAACAAACTATAATAGGGGCTTATTATTTTAAAGTGCTCTCATTGCGTTTGGTTTGTCAACGTAAATGCGACACCGCAAAGCGATTTTGATGGAGTGAAGAGGTAATCAAAGACAGCACTGCTTTTGTCTTGCGATTTATTGATTAGGGAAAAAACCTCTCGCCATCTTTTCAAATGTCAAACTAACTTTGACAACTTTGGTTCTAGTTTCTCGAGCCTTAGTTGACCAGCGCTCTCGCTTTTACACCCCAAGTAGCTAGCACTTTGTCAGTCAGTTAAACTACATAAAGAAAACAGCTAAAAGCGTGAAATATCTGTTAAATGACCAGATTAATTACGTTTTTATTCATAGAATTATGTGACGCGATTCCATGAAGAAATGATTTCCCATCAAAGTGTAAACCTTTTAAATTAATACGCGAGAAATATTTAGAGCAATGCCTTAGTATATTCTTTTACCTTTTAATCTGAATGACATCTATCCATATAAATATATATATATATGACCAGTATTTTAAGTTATTGAACAGCCTTCTCATAAAATGGCATTTATTGTATCTATGAAATTTATAACGTGTTATGATTAAGTGCCCTTTGGTAAAGACGCATTTAAACAAATGTCATAAATACAACTGTGGCGTCAGTATTCTGTTTTTGTCCATTTGTTGCGTTGTGTGT